GGCAGGCGCCGGGCCGTATCGCCATTCTCAGGTTGCGCGAGAGGTGCCCGCAGTCCTGGGCCCGAGGGTACGGCGCTTTGCTGAGGCAGTCGGACGGGTACGCTCTGTGGTAGGCCGCGAGCGCCTTGATCCAGTGCTTGCAGCGCTGGAAGTGCATTGTGCGCTCGAAGCCACAGTAGATGCAGTAGGCGAGGTCTTGGACGCACATTCTTGCGCGGGCGGTAGGATGAGCTCTCTAGTTGGTGATGGACTCGTGCAGACAAGATAAAGAAGTCTTTGGCCTTGAGTCTTTCGTGAGATGGATGCTTCGTTTTCTTTGCTGCCGTCGAGCTCCTCGTGGAGAGATATGGACAGCGGCTCAATAAGACCAGAGACGTTCTAAAGCCCACGGCGGACAGGAGGATAGAACAAAGGATCCCGGAGTGGACAGAGCTATTATGGTTGAAGAATGCTGGTGTTGAAGAATCACGTCCGCGTCAAAGGAGTTGTCTGGTGCAGAAGGCAGGTGGTGGCTTTGTTCAGGTAAGGCAGGAATCACCTGGAAGGCACAAGGAAAGAGCGGTTTCCCACGAGCCTGCCAGAATGAAACAAGTCACACTTTATGTCTTGAGGCCTCTGCTGTACGTTTGAGTGAATGCTCATACTTTTTTTTGACTCTACCCGACCTGGTTGGAACATGCAAACCTTGCCCCAAACGCCGATTGCCCGATATGTACAACGTGAGCGTAAATGTCATGCAGACAACACATACAGTCTCATCCTCGAAATAACATTGTCTTCCAAGATCAAAATCCTCCCCTCGCTCACCTGTCGCGCTTGCCACCCTTCTTGGCCTTCTTCCTCGACTTCTCTCCGACAGCCTCGTCATACACCTCGGCCGCCGTCTGGCCAGCCTTGCGCTTCGACTTGGACTTGACGCTGACGACGGTGCTCGCGGGCCCCTTGGCCACCTGCGCCTCGGCCTCCTGCCACGCCGGCGTGTCCCCCTCAATCTCGTATTCGTCGAGCGGGAGCGAGTCGATGAGCTCGCGCTGCTTCTTGCGCAGCGTCTGCAGGACCTCGTCGCCGCCCTCCTCGAGCTCGTCGTCGAGCGTCGTCTCGAGAGGCTGGAAGCGCTGGTCGATGACCTCGTCGTCGTGCACGCCCGTTGCATTCTCGCGGCTGACACCGAGGGACTTGCTCTGCGGCAGCTCGGCCTCGACGGCCTTAGAGACGAGGGCCGTGAAGTGCGCCGTCACCTTGCGAAGGATCTTGATGAACATGGCGAGGAGCTGCTGCGAGGGCAGCGAGAGCTCCGTCGAGATGACGTCGAGGTCCTTGCGCTGCTCGCCGATGGCCAGCAGAATGGCCTGCTGCACGCCCGTGAGCCTGATGTCGGACTTGAGGCGGCCGGTGAAGTAGAGGTTGGAGATGGTGGGGATGAGGTCGAGGATGACGTGGTAGTCGAGCATGTTGTTGGCATACGACTCAAGACGCTTCAGGTCGAACGGCGACACGAGCCTGTCAAGGTCCGTCTTGTTGAGGGGCGCGGGCTCCTGCTCGTCGAGCTTGGCGCCGAGGTTCGCCGACTCGTCAATGCTCAGCGCCATGACGGCCGAGAAAGAGCGGAACTGGTACGACAGCAGCGACAGGAAGCGCTTGTGGAAGTCGCGAGAGAAGGCACCGACCCAAGATCTGTCGCCGCCGTTCTCGAGCGGTCGCAGCATGACGCAAGTGTGCTCGCCAGTCAGGTCATTGGCCGTCTGCCGCAGGTACACGGGCGCGAAGGTCGCCCGCTTCCAGAACTTGTGTAGCTCCTGGGTGAGGCCGTAGCTGACGCCAATGTAGTCGAGCAGCTCGGGCTTCTTCTCGGAGAGCTTGGCGAACAGGGGCGGCATCTTGTTGATGTCGCGAATCTTGATATTGTCCTCGAGGAGGTTTGCGTTCTCGAGCTCCTCGTCCGTGACGCGAGTGATGGTGTCCTCCATGACAATGTCCTCCTCGTTCAGGCTCGTGAACTTGCCCTCGTAGAAGTCTGTGAGGAGCTGCAGCGCCTTGGAACCGTAGCCCATGCCCATGTACTCGGGGTTCGTGGCAATGCGCACAACGCGGGCTCCGGACAGCGAGGCAAAGTCCTCATCCTGGAACTGCTGGCTGACCAACCAGGGGATGAGATCACCAGACGGCCGCTGGCCCCGGCTCAGCGAGTTGAGGACGCTCTGCCTGCTGATCTTACCCTCGAGAGACACCTGGATGACACACAGGGGCTCAGGAAGACGTTGGTTTTCCTCCGAAACGGGCGGCACGAGAACGTAGAGCTCGTGCGCAGGGGCGTCGCTCATCAGCTGCAAATCGTCGGGCGAGTTCTTGTAGTGGCTGGCGACGTACAGCGCGACCATTTGCTGCAGGAACTTTTCGGAAACGGGGTGGAAGGAGAAGAGGGTATCGCGGTTGACCTGAAGGAGCTCGCACTGCGACGGGTCAGGGCAGCCCTGGCCGCTGACCTTGGCCCTGGGCAGGGTCGCGTCCAGGCAGAGGAGGGTGTTGAGCCACTTCTCGACGGAGTCGCCCTTGGCGTAACGAATCGGCTCGGAGAGTGTGATCTCGCGCAGGGAACGGCTAGCCTGGAAACCAGAAGACTGCTCCTTGGAAGCGCGGCCCGTGGAGCGGTCAGCGACGGTGGTGTCGCCGTTGGATGCCGCACCTGGCCTCGACTGCTCTCGTAGCTGCTTGATCAGCTTCAAGGACAGAGATCGACCAGTACCCTCGTAACCGTTGATGGTGGAGGCCATGAAGACGAGGTAGGGACCCATGAGCTTGCGGACGAGGGGCAGAGGAATGGCGGCGGCCTCATCGATGACGACCAGCTCGGCCTGGCCAAGAACGTGAGCGTCCTGCGGCCTGATGTACTGGATCGTCTGGCGGTGCTGCCTGTGGATGTTGACGCGAACAATCGCCTTGTTGAAATCGGGGTTCGTGGACTGAATGATCGAGTAGTCGGCGTGGTCGGCGTAGCCCAGAGCGTCAAAACCTTTGAAAATGAACTCGAAGAGGGTCTTCAAGTTCTCTGGCGAGGGCGACGTGATGAAGATGTTGCTGTATCCGTGGGCCACCGCGGCAGCGACGGCCACACCCATGGCAGCCGACTTGCCACGACCTCTCGCCGCCGTCAGGGTGACTGTGCTGCGCAGCGTCTTCTCGGCAATGGCGTCGACGAATGTCAAGAGGGCCTTGGCTTGGTCGACAGTCTTCGCGAGGGTAACCAGGGAGCCGACTGGTTGGGTATCTTGAAGCGACTCCTTCATGCCGTCCAGTTCCTTCTGGGTTTCGCTAACAGGCTGATCCAGGTCGGGAGGAGGCAGGGCCGCAACGTTTTTGCCGCCAGAGATGGGGAGAACGTTCATCTCGTCGTCAATGACAAGACAAGAGTCGCAGCCGCCGAGCGACAGTATGAAGCGCTCGTTGAAGCGGGCAACGACATCGTCGTGGGCCTCAGTACGGTAACGGTTGTGGACGTCCATGGACAGGTTGTAGAGCTGCTTCAAGCTGTTCATACCCTTGAGCAGCAGAATGACGAGGCCGCCACCCTCAACAGTCTCCATGGTCTTGGCGAGAATATTAGGCGTCAGTGCCTCGAAGTCTTGGAGGACGCACATGCCGAAGGTGTTTCCGAGAACCTTCTCAGTCTCCTTGTAGTAGACGTAGCGGATGTTGTGCAGGGTGACGAAGGCTTCGAAAGGGTCCATATCGTTGGCCTCGCGGATGCCGCGCTTCACCTCCTTCTTGATCTTGTTCTCTCGCTTCTGTCGGTGACTGCATTGCGACTCGTCAGTCCATGGCTCCCAGGGGGGGGGGGGTTAGGATGCTCGGGGACTAGCGTACCTTGTGAAGTTGAGGAGCTTGCTCTTGTAGGCCCAGAGAACCGATTTGTTCTGCTTGAGCTCCATCTGCGACATGATGTGGTGCAGGTTCACGATGATGTCCTTGCCGCGATCACCGACCACAACGAAGAAGCTTCGCTTCTTCTCCTGCAGGCCATTGCGAATGAGCGCGGGGATGCGCGAGTCTCTATAGAGTGTGTCAGGGCGATGCTGATTGAGGGAAAAGGGAGTGGCGTAGACCTACACCTGCTTCTGCTTTTGCGACATCTTGGCGGTGTGCAGAGCTGTTGGGTCGTGACAGCGTCTGGGTGAAGTTCGTCGGTCAAGAGCCAGGCGCGGGACTCGATGGGCTTGGACGACTCTCTACGAGAGCTGCCATCCAAAATTTTGGCGGAGAGAACATTTTCTGCCGGGCGGTGTGTTGAGGGTGGGACTGCGATGGTTCACCCCACATTGAGAGTACGGTGCGTGATAGATATGACTGCGGCCATACGGTGCGCCCCTATGATCGAATCTACCACCATTAGGAAAATAGATCAAGATCATGGCACGCCCGGCCACGCAGCATTGGTTTTTTTTTCTCCTTTTGACGGATTCTATGATGCTAGGCATTGAACTACATTATGTTTTTATTGACTGATAGGTTCTTGGCTCTGCTAACATTTCTATATTGGCAAGCAGTGCAGGCTGCGTCTACGTACAGCATTGTGTCTATGCCGCTTCTGAGAAAGGGGCTAAGCTCTACTACCCTTGCCTGCCATCTGGTATAATCCTGTTTGCGATGATTCCATGGACGAAGTGACTCAGGTAGCTGGGCATCCTGAAGATCAATCGGCCTGACCTTGGTCTCTCGCCAGCTTACACTGGATAACATCCGGGCGGCTGACGGATGTCGCTTGAGCGGCTCGCGCCGCGGAGCCACCACGGGAAAGATGCAACCCGTCCCAATGGACTGGCCCCGTGCGGGTTGAGAAGGAGTCTCTTTGTGATGAAAGTGCGCCGTGCTTGCTTGGTTGATGAACGCAACGGCCAACGCCGTAATGGCCAGGTCACTGGGTGCTTCAGCGCCGAGACAGAGTGCATACGGTGCCGTGATCACCCGCAGCACTCGGGTTTGGCGCTCGGCAGTCTGCTGCGGTATCAAGGCTTGGCGCCATCCTTGCCCCATCGCGACGTCTCATCGCCGCCCTTCCACTCGCGCTCCACGTAGCCGAGCTCCTGTTTGACCTTCTCCACGGTGCCCTTATCACCTGTGTTCTTACCCGAGTTGTCACTGCACCACAATTAGCTTCAGGACAAGACAAATGCCCAAGAAAACTGACCTGATCTTGATGGCATTCCTGCCAGCCGCCGAGCTCAGCTTGATGACAATGTTGAGGGGCGTCGACTTGGACCCGTCCTTGAGTCGGGTGAAGTCGTTGGTGAGGAAGGTGCCGACACCAAACGTCGGCACGAAACCCGCGGCCTCGGAAATCTTCTTGTACTCGAGGCATCGCTCAATGTTGAGCGAGTCGGAGAAGACCATGGTCTTGCCCGTGATGCCCTGGTCGGCGTAGTACTTGCGCAGCATCTCGACGTACTCGGTCGGGTCGCCCGAGTCCTGGCGCACACCGGCGAACAGCTCAGCGTACGTCTTGACGGAGCCGTCCGCCTTCTTGTAGTCGCCGGCATCGCCATCGACCGGGTCGACGGGGCGGCTGAAGGCGCGCAAGAACTCCTGGGTGCCAAAGGTATCGGTGAGGGCGATGCCGAGCTTGCCGCCAAAGGCGCCGACCCAGTAGCGCAGGGCAGCCTCGGTGGCGCCGCGGTAGTCGTCGGTGATGGCAGCGATGCCCATGAACCACTCGTGGGCGACGGTACCGACGGGGGGGATGCCGAAGCGCATCGCGAGATGGACGTTGCTCGTGCCGCTGAGGCGGGCCTTGAAGCCGCGGGCCTCGGCTTGCTTGTCGGCACGGACGAGGCCGCGGAAGACGAGAGCCTGGGTATGGTAGTCGCGGCGGCGGCGGGTGCCGAACTCGGAAAAGGTGCAGCCGGCCTCAAGGAGCTGCTGGCCCTTCTCGAAGGCGCGCTCTTCCTGGCCGTCGTAGGTCCAGTCCTTGTCCATGAAGAGGAAGTAGGCCTCGGAGGTTAGGGCGAGCATGGGGATCTCGTAGAGGATCGTCTCGGACCAGGTACCCTGGATCTTGATGTCGACATGGCCGACATCGGTGTCTGCGCCCGTGTCGTTGCCTTCGGGGGTGAATGTCGTCGTGACCTGCTCGCGCGGTCGCAACCTCAGCTCCTTGAGGAAGTTGAGGTACTCTTCTGTCAGGTAAGGGCAGTGACGCTGTAGGAACTGGTGCTCTTCATCGGTCAGGGAAATGTTGCCGAGTTCTGTATGGCGGGGTTAGCGCGGGGTTCCGCGGCGCGAACGTGATTTCTCATCGGTCGTACGACCATCATGAGGGCAAACACGCGCGGAAAAAAAAAACACAAACACAGAGAGGGGTCACGAACTCTGGATCTGCTGCTCTAGCCAGCGAAAGGCCTCCCTGGAGAGTTTCTTCTCAGGAGTTCGGTTCGTGAAGGCGTAGGTTACGGGCACATCCTTGAAATACTTGGTGACGGCACATTGCATCGTCAGCTTGTACAAGTCAGTATCCAGGAAGGAAATGACGCCCGCAGGGTAGGGCGATGAGCTGTTGAAATCCATGATGGCGATTTTGACGACTGCAGGCGCACAGCAAAAGATGGTTTTGTTTCTGGGAAGAAAGCGCGTCAACTGCGCTGGCTGGAGAGATAGGCTGGAGCTGGGCTGGACATGCGACAACGATGTGTCACAGCTACCTTACGTCAAGCACGGGTCGAGGATTGAGGGTTGAGTGTCTGAAGAAGGTACTTGTACGGCTAGTACTTGGCTTGTGGCATGCGAAGGAGGGGCATTTGGGTCTGGTGCCACGGCCAAGCTCAAGAATTGGGTAAGCTGGTTCACTTAGTATTTCTAGGTACCTTAAAGGCAAGTGTAGGACCTCATGTGCCAAAGCTAACAAGGTCCAGTGGTCTGTCCAACCAAAGCAGCCAGGCTGTTGGCTTCTAGCGCTATTTCAGCGAAGCCAACCTTCCTCAGCTGCTCCCGGCTTTGACTTTGTCGCAAAGAAGCACAATCTGTTTCTCTCTGGTAGACTCTGGTAGACGCCCACCCCCAAACACGAGTAATACATAATGCTTGTATGACATGAGAAATAGATCGAGGCAATGCAGGGACGAAAAGGCGGGCCATTCCTGCTAAGCCTGTTTAAGACAAGTACCCAACCTGGATGGCCTTCACTCGTAGAATGTGGCAGTGCTGATGCGTGGCTGAAGCTGGAGGGCCCCCATCGCATGGTGCCGATATTGCGTCACGTTGGCAGAGAGCCAACACCAACGACCATCATTGTCAATCGCCTTTCGCATCCTGCCCTTGCACCTCGGCCCACGGCTGCCTCCGACTCGGGCCAACTTGACGACGGCCTACTCGCCTACACACCCTCATGGTTGTGCAATAGTCACCATGCCAAAGGCAAAGCCTTGCCTGAAGCTGCAACACCATGTCGTTTCGATTCCCTTTTCCAGTCCCTCCTGACCCATGGTCACACCGCGAGGAGGAGGTCACGCTGGCCCGAGTCAACTCTTCGCCACGAAATGCCCGCACGGCTTCCGGAGCTGAGGTCAATGGATCTGCGAGCTCGAGAAAGGATGCCTCGGGTGATTCTGCTACGTCTGCCCCAGTACCACTTCCACAGAAGAGATGGATTTTTGCCGACCCCGTGGCCTTTCGGTAGGCCTTGAAAGCCCACAACTCTCCTGATGCATGTCTGACATTGATTCCAGATACCTCGAAGACGACCCGGCTGTCACGGTTGTTGAGCGACGACGGGTGCTGCGTGGATACGAACTATATCTGGTCGAACAGTGGGCATGCTCTCGCGAGTCTCCAACACTCGTCATAGTCACGTATACAGGCGATGAGCGACACACAGTGGTGGCAGGAGTCTTGGGGGTTCCCGCAGACGAGACCGCCTGGTCACCTCGGCTGCGGCTGTATTTTAAATCCATCCAGCAGTATCACGCACGACCGAAGGAGACGGACGAAGGCGAGCTCATGGTGACGAACCTCAGCAGTTTTCCTTCGGCCTTGACCGTCATTCCTGTTCCCGATGGCGATATTCGAACCCACCGAAAGCTTTTTATCGTCAATGAGGATCTCAAGCGTCTGGGCTGTTCTGGCAGATCTGGCATGTCCTTGACCGATCCCACGCCGGCCACCCAGGCCAAATTCTATCAGCTCTTCCGAACGAGCGACCGCCCGCCCTTTTTCGAGTCCGTCTTGGAACTCGTCAAGCTCTGTCAGACGGCGCTGTTTTTGTTTGGCAAACTCGAGTTTGAGTACGTCGATGGCCTGCTTTGTGACAAGACGGAAACTGCCATTGGCAACTGGTGGACTGAAGTCGGCGCCGAATACTACAACATCGAGCCCACTGACGGCATCCTCGGCCCGACGACTGTGGCTGCATTGCTCGGCATGCTGGCCGGCGCAAGGAATCGTCTCCACTACCTGGGAGCGCCAGTCGCCAAGGACGTGTTCGACATTGATTGCACGAAGCGAGGTATTTCGTGGTTCCAGAGGTCGCAGAAGCTGGAAAAGACGAGGCGGCTGGACCGTCAGACAGTTCTCAAGCTCCACAGCGTCACGGCCAAGGCCGCAGCGGGCGAGGGCTGGGGCGTCCAAAAGGCTGTCAAGTCCACGGTGGCAGAAATCGGCGGAAAGAGAGGCGAGCTCGTCATCGGCCTGGTCGGTGGGCGGGACAAGGGCGCCATTGGAGACATTGAGACGCTGGACATATCGAAATTCGTCGACCTGGTCTCCGGCGAACGTGCCAAATGGCTTTGGCTCGGCAAGCCTAAGAGGACGGCGCTAGAATCCAACGAAAAGACGCCCGACATGAGCGCCATCCTCTTTGGCGAAAAGGAGGCCAAGGAGGGTGTCGTGACGCCCAGCAGAAGGGTGCAGTCTTTGCCCTTGGAAGAGGAGGTCCAGCGTACCAAAGAGGAACCGGCGAATGCCCTACACCCTGTCCAAACTCCTATTCAGGCTGCGACTATGAATGATGCCGTCTTGGGGGAGAAGGATCCATCGCGGAGGGGTGTGTTCAAGAGCGTGGCTGGCCGCGTCAGCGACGCCCGGTCTGGACTCGGGCGCATCAAAGATACCATAGGTGGCAGTCGGAGAGGCCACGCCAGCCGGCCCAGCAGGGATGATTTCTCTGATGGAGGGTATGCGACCCCGAGCACGTCGGCACTCCAGCAAAACTCGACACTATCAGCTCCTCCGGTGGGGATTAACAGAGCATTCACCTGGAAGAACAAGCCGGAAGAATACCTCAACTCGTTCAAAAAGGAGGCGGAGCAGGCTAACGAAATCGAGAAGGGCGCAGCCGAGGGAGACGACGACCAGCAAGTTGCAGACCCGCCCTCGCGTGTCGGCAGCGAATGGAGCCACGCCGTCAGTGAGCCGATCAAGGAGGAAGACAACGACGACGCCCAGCCGTCGGTCGTCGGTTCGACCATCGAGACGGATCTCCTTGGACCCTTTGAGGCAGAACGAGGCGAAAACATCGAGGCAGCATTTCTCCAGCGCCGGCACAGCATCGAGTATTCCACGCCATCCCGCAGACCGGCGATCAGCGAAGCACGCTGGCCGCGTCGCCTCTCCTTTGGCGATGCAGAGGAGGCGGTGCTGCGCTGGGAGGAGGTCACAGGCCTGCTCCCTGACACCGCCCCGCCCCACGACCCCCTCGTCGCCCTCAAGCAGCAGGCTGGTGTCGCTGAGCTGGCCCGCGCTCTGTACGGCTCCATCTATTCGATTAGCAACCACATTTCACCCTGGGTCGTCACAAAGGTTGGGGCCATTGAAGCCCTTGACGCGCACTACACGCGCGAGCACGAGGAGATCCAGGGCCTCTACTATCAGCTCTCTGAAGCCTACCAGCGCGTCAAGCAGGGCTCGTCTGAGCTCATTGCATCCGAGCGCGGGCGCCTCACAGAGGCCATCCGGGAGGTTGAGGTCCTCGCCGCGCGGCTCGATTACGAGGTCAATGCGCTTGGGGGCAAGGTTGGGGATGTCGAGGACGGCGTCTTGGTTTTCGAACGCCAGGTTGAGGATGTCGAGGCGCGCGCGGAGGAGCTCAAGGCCACGCTGGAGACAGAGGGGTGGCTGCACTGGTTCGTGAGGACGTTGACGGGAATTGGAACAGGACCAAATATCACGAGGGGAGTTGCGGAGGCCGTGCCTCCCCGATAGGGGAAGCTGCATAGCGTGGTTATTTTCATTTTGCTTACTTAGGCATTGGATACCCTTCTTGGGCGAGACGCTCAATGACGAATACTTCATTTGGATTCAGCTGCGTGTAGTGACATATTTTTCGTAACTATACATGGCACGGTAGTCTTGACTCCAGCACTGTACGTGAAGATGCCGCAATGGTTGATCGTAAGTAATTGGTATCACAAGATCGCATCATCATAATGGCTCTAACATCCGGATCGTCTACTGCTTTTCTCTATCATCAAGGATATCTACTATCTACGCAGTGTTCCCTTCCCTGCCAGATCAAAACGCCAGGTCTCCATGCCGACACCCACAACTACAATTTCTCTATAATCCTTCTCCTCAGCCCCGTCGAGAACATCAAGATCGCCTGGGTCTGCAACACCGCTGTTTTCGTTCGCCAACAGGGTGAGCTGCGCCTCGTCGTCCTCGGTCAGGCCCCATCTTAGGGACCACACCTTGACGCGCTGGTCGTTACTTACCGTAGCAAACGTCGTCCGCCGCGCTTGCTCTTCCGTGCTCGGCGGCATCGTCTGCAGAATTGCGAGACCGTTGATCGCCGCCGCATGAGCGCCCTTGACGCCCGTCTTGGAGACGAACTCGTACTTGCCATGCCGCCGCTGGAGCACAGTCATACCGAGACCGTTGTCGTCGCCGCCGGTCAGGATGAGGCGGATCTCCGCCCCGTCGTGGTCGAGATTGACCATGTCCAGCGCCTTGACGGAGCTTTGGTGCAGTCTTGCCGTCGTCTGGAGGGCGTATTCCCCCGCAACGTCCGTTCCACCCCTTTGCGCGATCCAGACGCCGAGATGGCCATCCGTGGCTGCCGTTCCGATCTCGAGCTCTGCGCCGTCCACGCGGAGATGTCTGACTCTCGTCAGGCAAGCGCCCGTGTACCGTCCCTTGGCCAGAAGTGTGAACTGTCCACCGTCGTAGCGATACGTGCCCACTGTCGAGTTTGAGAACACCATGCTCACAGCGACGCCGCCTTGCGCGGCAGTGATGTCAAAGTCGAGAATGCGCAGATCGCCGTCGGGGCTCTTGTCCGCCCAGACCGCCTCCCGCACGACGGCCGGGCCGGAGAACGCGGCGCCGGCGCCGGGGAGCTGCCTCACCCTCCACACGACGAACTCCTCATTGCCGCCGCAGCTGAAGAGCAGAGCCCCGTCGCCGCGGTCGGCGAGCCAGCGCAGACCCTGGAGGCCGGCGCGGTGACTCTTGAGGCTCGCGACGCAGCGGCCGTCGTCGTGCCAGAGGCGGATGGAGGTGTCCTCGCTGGCGGTGGCGAGGTAGGGCCCGTTGGCGCAGGCTACGGCGCGGATCTCGCGGCCGTGGGTGCCGGATTTGAGAACCTCGTGGGGAGGGTGGTGCTGGGTTTTGAGGAGGAGGATGCCTGCCCTGGCGTAGGCGATGCGGAGCGGGGAGGAGGCGGGGGCTGGGGCGGACCAGATGCGGTTGGGACCTCCGACGTCGTGGGTGTGGAGGTCGCGGCGGGTGGTTTCGTTGTAGAGGGTGAAGAGCCTGCTGCGGAAGCCTGTCAGGAGGAGGTCGTATTCGGGGGAGAAGTGGGCTGATTCAATGGTGGTGAGGCATGGCACATGCGTCTGGTGGAGGAGTGTGAGATGGGGTTTGTGGGATGAGAGAAGAGAGTAGAGCCGATAATGAGCGTCGCGAGCTGTGATGAGGAGGTGAGTTTCGCCGTTGAGGGACGTTGGGAGGGAGATGATCGAAGTGATGGTGTCTACTGTATGACGGACGATGGGTGATTGAAGCGTCAATTCAGTAGGAGAGCGTTGGAAGAGAGAGAGGTGACCGTGACGAGAGCCAATAAGCAAAACATCGCCGACTAGATGGGCTGCTGTCGCGACGTAGCCAGCTTGTTGACCGGGGACCAAAAGGCTGGAAGTCACGGTGACGGAGGATATGTCAACAGTCAGGAGCTGCATAACGTCTGGACCTCCTATCATCATAATGAGAAGCTCCACCACCGAAGGGCTATCGTCACTGAGGGGCCTGACGACGAAGATATCGGAGACCTTGCCGTTCATGACGGTGATTTCCTTGACCGTCGAATCCTTGTACAAGAACAACTTCTTCGTGGCCGTCCCTAGGATGGCTACGCCAGGGGCAGGACTCCTGATTGTAGTGCAGTATGCCAGGTCGCGACCGTGTTGGCCTTCGTAAGAAACCTCCTCCCATGCGAGATCTGCCGCAAATGTCCCCAAGAGGATCCTTCCTCTGGTGCTTGCAGCCAGCAACGTATCTTGAGAAATGAAGACAAAGTTCTGAAACCCTTCCGGCCGTTTCCTCGAAGGTGGCGGATATTCTTGAGTTGATGGCGGCAACAGACTCAGGATGTCTTCGAAGACGAGCTGAGAAAGCTCACTTGGAAGCGTGTCAAGCCCATTGCTTCCCTCGCCGCTCGCTGTCGTGTCTACATCGTCGGTGATGAGGTTGACTCTCGCATCCGCGCCTCCAGTGGCGATCAGAGAGCCCCCCTGCTTCAGGGGCTCAACAGCTGCCGCCCAGATGTGCTTCCCGTCGTGGTGGGCAAACGTTTCTCGCAGTATCAGCTTACCCGCGCCTCCGTCGACTGCATCGGCAGATGCTCTCCTCTCCTGCCACGCCGCAACATCCACCTCCAACCGCCACTTGTGCACCGTGGCATCCTCTCCGAATGAATAGACCGGCATCACGACCTGGCCATTCTCGAAGCCAAGATCATGCCCCGCGAACTTGACATGCCAGATTCGCGAACCATGCCCCATGGCCACCGCGACCGGGGCACTCGACGCATCCGCCACAGCAGAGAGGTCAACGCTGCCAAACCCCGTCTCGCGCGCCTCCCCAAAGGAAGCCTGCACGACGCCTCTCTCCAACGACGCCGCAGAGACATCCCACAGCCGAATCGTCCGGTCATCGCTGCAGCTCGCCAGCAAGCGCATCTTCTCTCCTGGCGGCCCCTCAGCAACCTCAAACTCAGGCGAAATGTCCACCCCAAAGATGGAGCCCTCGTGCCCCGCAAAGACGGAGAGCACCTCGCAGCTCGGTGTCCCGGTACCGGGCAGCTCGCACGTCCACACGACAATCTCGCCAAAGGCTGTGCCGCCCGCGACCAGCAGCGTCGAGGGCGCCGTCCACGCCGCCTTGGCCGCGTACAGACCGGGACGCGGGGGGGCGACGATCCGGCCGAGGACGAGCTTCTGCGCGGCGGCATCGTAGGTGGCTTCGAGGATCTCGTTGTGGGCCGTCACGAAGGCGATGCGGCCCGCGGGCGAGACGGCGACGCTGAAGAGCCAGTCGTGGGCTTTGACTTCTGCGAGGGGCGCGGGGGGTTCGCCGCGGCCGGTCAGGGCGGCCTCGAGGGCTGAGGTTGGCAGGGCGGTGACAGATTGGTTACCCCATAGGAGGATGAGGTCGTCGCTGATGACGATGCCGTGGATGGTTTGGGCGTGGAAGACGCGGAGGGTGAGGCGGAGGGTGTGTGTTGATGTGTCGTAGGCTTTGAGGAGGTTGTCTTCCGCGACGAGGAGAGTTGGCGTGGAGGATGACAAGAAGGCCAGGGCGGTGATGGGGACCAGGAGGGATGTCCTCTGGAGGGGAGACTGTGATTTGTCAGTGTGTTACCAGAGGCTGATCCATCATTCGAGGTTCATACTGAGGTGCTCATGGTGGGTGGTTTGGTGGATTGCCCCTCCATGAACCTGACCGTAGCTGTGGCGGGGTAACTCCAATCGACGGGCCGCTAGCACAGGGGAATGAGACAAAGGAGAGGAAGAAAAATATCTGGAGCATCAATACAGGAGACGTAACTGTGTTGATGAAGCAAAATTGGAGCTCTTCACTGGCTGAACGCTGAAAGGAGTTGAGGGTTTTGGAGATTTTCGCTGGTTCGACTCATCGAGTGCCTGCCCGTCATGGTGGAGGGAGCCCCACCTTCCAGATCCAGTCCTCTTCCACGAAGCAGTCAAATACAGCAAGCATCACGTTCACGACGAGCCATGAGCATCACTTCGTCTCTCAAAATACATGTTTGTAGAATCATTAATTCATGAGTATTCTAGTATTGCCAAGGCTTCATCCACCCGTTTGGGTATTTCCATGACCTATCCCACGTAGTCTGTTCCATCTGGAACGACCCTGACCCATCGTTCATCGCTTATCGTGAGGAAGAAAAAAGAGAATTCGAGCCGCAAACGCCACGGAACCACGTCGCTCCACCGTCATGTTTTACTGACGATGCGAGTAGGGCTCGTAAGCCATCTCACGAGTAGCGTGAGGGGCGCCAAACGAGGTCGGCTGCTGGGGGTTGTAGAAGCCCTGGTTCGCGGGCGAGGCGAGGGGCTGATACGAGTTGCCACCGGGCAGGAGCTTCTCGGCGTCGGTCGAGCCACGGTTGCGGCTCTTGCGATCGCGCGAGTTGTGGCTGGGTGCGCAGCAGCAGATGGTGAACATCCAGAAGAAACCGGCACCGAGAGCGCACGCCGCCGAGATCCAGACGAGCGCAAGGAACGTCGTGTCGAAGCTGGCACCGACGCCGTACCACTTGCCCGTGCCCTTGATGGCGCCGACGACAATGGCGGACATGGCGGTGGAGAGGGCAGCCGAGGCGACGACCGAGATCGAGGCCACCTGCGCGACGAGGAAGGTGACGCAAGACATGACGCGCGTGCAGTTGGCGAAGATGCCAAAGATGACCGACAGCGCCAGAGAGATGAAGGCGATGATGTAGGCGACCTGAGTCCACTTGACCACCGTGTTGAAGAGCTTCAGCGAGTCCTCGACCTCCGAGGGAAGCTCGACGCGGCGACCGGCGACATCTCCGACGCCCTCGATGAAAGACGTGTTGAGCTGCTTGTGGGCCCAGTCAAACTGGGGATCGGTGCAGCTGCGGTCGCCCTTGTTGTCGGTCGTGCAGAAGCCCCAGAGCGCAATGTCGTAGACGTTGTCGAGGCCGAGGGCCTTGGCGGTGATGTTGTTCGTCAGAGCGTCGCTGACAGCGCCCTCGATGTCGGAAGCGTCCTGGCGAGCCACAATGTTGACCTCGGGCAGCACATCGCGCGAGAGAATATCGGATACAATGTCCTTAAAGTCGGCGGGGTTGATCTCGAGGTTCGTCGTGTTCACGCGGAACATGTGCAGATCCTTGTTGGAGACACCGCCGAGACAGGCGATGAGGAGGAAGATGAGGGATGCCGTGGACAGTATAAACGGCAGAGCCACGCAGAGAAAGCGACCGACACCCATATTGAGATTGTAGTGCTGATCTGATGTCTTGTGTTGCTTGTGGGGGGTTGGTTGTTCGGGGTGACCAGGGGGGTGCTCGTTTGGTGTGGTGGTAGATGGTGGTCGAGCGAGGGTGGTGGCACTTGTAGCGAATGCAAGTGTTGATGGGTTGTTGTAGCGAGAGATATCGAATACCGATGCGTGTGATGGTATCGAATGGAGTATTCAAAGTCGAAGGGAGGACGAGGTGGGAGATGAAAGACGAGAATAGATAGCATACACCGAAACGATAGCAGCAGCAGCAATGCATTTACTTATACTGGGCGATCGATCCATGGGAATGGCAGGAAGGGCGGGATGGGCTGCACCTTACGCGGCCCTGGGAAACGACTCGAGTGGCGCAGGCGGGCAAAGCGAGTGAGCTTTTCGGTTTCGCTCCACTGATGGGCAGTGATAGACAGGGGCCCTGGGAGCTCTCCAGTGAGGGCCGTCTCCACTTAAGTCAACACTCAGCCCCAGCAAGCCTCTCTCCATCGCCCAATGCTGTGCACACCACTACTACACCATCACAGTACCTACCTTGGTACCTGTGGGCAGAATTGCCCATCACAGCTACCTGCGGAGATGGCCCATACGCGTACCAGCTGGCTAGTAGACAGCCCGGCAGTGGAGAGCACATCCTGGCTGGGAGGGGTCTTCAATGAGGCGTCGCGACGTAACAAGTACAGTTTGCGGTCCTCGAGGTGGGGAAGTACTTGCGTCATCCCTCACCAGCCATCTTTCCTAGATCAGCCATCAGTTGTTGTTACCATCTCCCAGTGAACCATCACCACCAAAAGCAGCAAGCTGAAACAGTGGCTCTCAGCCCAAGATACTATGCCTTGAGCCAGCCAAGCCAAGCCTGCATTTTTCACAGCCAGCACGGCATTTTTCTTTTCACTGCTGACCCTTTTTCATTGCTGACTCTTCTCATTGCTGACAGTAAGATGGGAAGCGAATTGGCATCCTGACGCATCCGCCGCTCGCCTCACTTGCGTGATCCAGCTTGTTCCTTCCTACCTTCATCCGCTCCCAACAATGAACGACCGTCGCGACTGCCGAAGAGAATGAGTCGAGCTCTGATCCACCATCGTCGTCGTCTCCCTAAGCCTCTGCTCCCCCTAGCTCTCACCCGCAACATACACGCACACTGCGCAGCCCGGAAAGGCAATTTGCGTGGTGCCGAGTCAAGACCGCGACACGGAAATCTCCTACCAGCCTTGGCAGCTCAAGCAAACGGCAGTCTTGACCCCTCGAACAAGCGGCCCCTGTTCGTCATCCCCGAGAGGCTGAGCCGCAAACCACAGCTCATTCTCCCCTTCTCGTCTTCTGTTGTGCCTGTCTTGTGCCTGTCCCCTGGCCCTTTCGCCTACTGCTGTGGTGCTGCGGGTGCTGTGTGGATGGCTTTCTGCTGGCCCCACCTCACTGCTGCTAAGCCCCTCCACAGGTTGATTGAGTGCGGCTTGTCACTCACCCACCACACCACCAGCCAGGCAACAGCCAACGAGGAGGCGGACGCTCCTACCTAATTATAGAACCGAGCACTCATCGCTGTCCGCTGTGTCCACGTCAGCTGTACCTTGTCGGCTCCTGGGGATGCCTTCATCACTGGCAGTGTGGCTGATGAGGTCAGACACTGCCCATGGTGATGTGATCAACTGCACTGGGATCGGCAACCCGCCTTTTAAACGTGTAGCAAGCAAAACATTTGCCAAAAGTCCGATTTGTTTGCTAAACGAACCGCTGTCTCGCCCGTATCTGTCTCACCCCTACTTCAAAACTCCAGACCGGAGTGCTACTCAATTGATCATTCGCAGCTCGTGATTCTTGAACCCCGACAAGGTGGCAAAATAGCCAAAGATACGAGCTTTGAGGCGAGGGGCTAATCGTCAACGTGTACCTCGCCCATCCTCAGTCCAAAACATATTCCAAGGGGCTCGATCGCGGTGAAAGAATCACACGATGGGACACGGGTTGGTGGGAGTGGTCTTAAAAACATGGTCAGTGGACTTGGCCTGGTGATGAACCCGCGAATAAAAATTGGCATCCCAGATTGATCACCCCGACGAAACCGCAGATTCTTGCAGGAATCCTTCACCGCACTGCGGGACCGAAATCCGCTGATGCCAAGGTGATTATCGAAGACATCTGCATGTGGCCAAGGCTGACAACAGGGAAGGCCCGAGGCCACCGCTGCTCCGAGCCGATTGAGCTGGTCCGATCGTGTGGCCTTTGAGCATTGTCACGACCAGTAAAATGAAGGATACTACTGCTGCAATACCCCGACGAGCCACGCGGATGTAGGCCGTCAAGGCCGATGGCTCCGATCGGCGAAGGAGCCTCCAAGGTGATGTGCCACCGGGCGGGCTCATTCTCGTTGCACTGCAGCAAGGCTTTCGTTCCGCCGAGTGTATCCGACACCTCCCACCCCTTCGCGCAGAGCATGTGACCCGAGCCTCGAATGAACCCCCAAAGCTGGCTGGACTATTGCAAGGCTGGCCCTGGGATGGCATTTGCGCAAAACGGAGGTCACCCGCCCCTCGCGTTGCCCGTCTCAGCCAAGCTTAGTTCCTGGGGCATCGTGTTTCCTGGGATATTGTGGTCACTTGACATCAAACCATTTGCCCATTCAGCAGAAACCTTCCGTCCCATCCCCCTGGCTCTGCCTCGCCACGAGCGCGGGGATCCTGGGCTGGCGCTGGGCCAAGCGTGGTCCATCGCCTGCGCGAGCCGGCGTCGATGGGGTCGAGGCGGCCCTCTAGTTCGCAGGGCCCTCAGCCAGCCAGGGCTCGACAATTTCCCTATCGTGACCAACCCTCTCAGCCGGGACTGACTCTTGCGCTTGAATAGCATCGTGGCGTAATTTGACGTCGGTCCATCTTGCTCCTTTGGCCATGGTGGCCTCTGTAAGCTTTCAACGTGATCCTGGTAGATGTGGTGGTCGCTGGCACAGCTGCTGCTTCATCTGGGCGCCCCCATTGGTGACAGCCAAGCCAGGCTGGATGCGGCGCTCGATAAGGGTTCCGTCACGGAGGGTGGGCTGGACAGGAACGGTCGTTCTCTATCGGGTCTCAGGCCATATACCCACCCATTGATCTCGCCATTGCGGCAGGCCGGGGGAGGGTAGAAGGCGTCAGCCAGAGTTGGGGTCATCGGCAAAACAGAACTGTGAGCCTCGTGGACGAATACGTGGCCAGCGAAGAGCAACTGTTTGATGACGGATGTTAAAGCGAGCGTGGATGGTGGACTGGAGTGACAGGGAAACGGCCGGGGAAAGCACTGACAGCGCCTTAACTCCTGGCCGACCTACGGTACCTACCCCCCTAAGCTCCGCTGGCCGACCGACCGACCACCCCAGTCGACCCGCCCCAAGCTCCTTGGGAGGAGCCCCATAGCACCCTAGCGAACAGCAGCGTACAGGGCAGCCACGCACACTGGACAGGCCTGGGTTCGGGCCTGGGTTCGATACAAAACCTTGGCATCCTCTCCTCCAACCACCACCTCCGCCATCCCGCCGGGCCCAGTTGGTCATCAGCTCCAAGCACCCTCTCTTCTCTCTGACCGAACTAAGGTAGACCGACTAGCAACTTCTACCACCCACCGCCGCAACCACCACCATCACGTTGCACCTTCTCCTCTCCATCTCTCCTCGCCGCTATTCACCGTCTTCCCATCTATCAACTCAACCTTGCATCCTGCTCGGCTCTTACCAGGTTTCTTGACCCGACACACCATCTCAAACAGACAGACCGTCAGGTACTTATCTCCCACTCTCAGCTGCCTGATAAGCAAGCACCTGTCTTTGTCCCGCTGTGCGGTCATCGAGCGGGTCCTGCATCTTGTGTCTTGGTCTCACGGCCCCCTCCCACCCCCCGAACTCAACCTCTCACCACCCAATACCTTGGCTCTGAGCATGTCGGACAAGGCTGACGCAGAGACTAGATTCAGCTTCACCGCATCACCCGCATTCTCCGATTAAGCCCATCAACGTGCGCTCCCGACAGCAGCACCAATTCGTCATCGTGCCAATCGAGATCGCCGACTGCTGCTGATTGACGATAACTGCCAGCGACAACCGCCTTCCTTTTCAACCCGACCGAATTCATTCCGCATAGCCCAGCTCCCAGGCCACCCGCCTCCCGTTCCCGAAAACGGACGCCTCCGCTGGTCGCCGCTCCTCCCCCTCCACCCGCTTCCTGTCCGTCCTAGATCACATCTTCTACCCTCCCTAGGACCAGCCGGACAGGCACAGCGACGCAAATCATTCTTACCTCGCAGCAGTACTCTCTGATTCTGCATCATGGGCAACCAGCCTTCCAAGGATAAGGGCTCCAAGGATGGGCCCGACGACTTCAAGTCGTACCCGTCCTTCTCCCGATCCGACACGAAAGAGTCATCGCGCTCATTCCGGTCTCTGCGCTCCAAGATTACCAACAAGTCCACCGACAGCCCCCGAGCTTCCATGTCCGCCAATAACGACGACGCAGCTTCGGTCAAGTCAGGCAAGAGCGGCCGGTCGGCCACATCCCGCGGCAGCCGCCACGACTCCATCTCGTCGCCCATGAGCCCTGGTGGCGGCGGCGCCCTGAGCGAGCTCGACTCGCCCGTCGACGACCTCCAACCACCCCCGTCCCCCGTGCACCACACCCAGAAGGGCTTCCACGACGTCAGTGCGGCCCAGGCGTCCGGTGAGGTCGATCACGTCTCCGACCAGCCGCCCTGCGCCAGCGCCAGCCTCAACACCCATCTCCAAGCGCCTGGCAAGTCCATCCTCAGCAAGACCGATGGCGAGATCCCCATTTCTGAGGCTGCGGTCGACGACAACACCCCGCAGGCCGATGCGCCTACGGGCGTCGCCATGGGCGAGATCAAAGACATGGATCTCGACGACTACATCAAGCGCCTGCTGGACGCAGCCTACGCCGGCAAGGTGACCAAGGGAGTCTGCCTTAAGAATGCCGAGATTGTCGCCATTTGCCAACGCGCTCGCGAGGTGCTCTTGACGCAGCCCGCGCTGCTCGAGCTCGATGCCCCCGTCAAGATTGTCGGCGATGTCCACGGCCAGTACACCGACCTCATCCGCATGTTCGAGATGTGCGGCTTTCCGCCGTCTTCCAACTACCTCTTCCTCGGCGATTACGTCGACCGCGGCAAGCAGTCGCTCGAGACGATTCTGCTGCTTCTCTGCTACAAAGTCAAGTTCCCCGACAACTTTTTCCTCCTGCGCGGCAACCACGAGTGCGCCAACGTCACGCGCGTCTACGGCTTCTACGACGAATGCAAACGTAGGTGCAACGTCAAGATCTGGAAGACGTTCATCGACTGCTTCAACACACTGCCCATTGCTGCCGTTGTCGCCGGCAAGATTTTCTGCGTGCACGGTGGTCTCTCGCCGGCACTGAACCACATGGATGACATCCGGGGCATCGCCCGACCAACCGACATTCCCGACTACGGTCTTCTCAACGATTTGGTGTGGGCTGACCCTGCCGAAATGGACAGCGACTGGGAAGCGAACGAGCGCGGCGTCAGTTATTGTTTTGGCAAGACGGTCATTGAAGATTTCCTGGCCAAGCACGACTTTGATCTTATCTGCCGCGCGCACATGGTCGTCGAAGACGGCTACGAATTCTTCACGGACAGGCTCTTGGTGACGGTGTTCAGTGCTCCTAACGTAGGTGTTCCCCGCACGCCAAGGCAGGCACGCAGGCAGGCAGGTGAATCGGTAGGCTGACTCGTGGACTTCTAGTACTGCGGCGAGTTTGACAACTGGGGCGCCGTCATGTCCGTGTCATCGGAGTTGCTTTGCAGTTTTGAGCTGCTCAAGCCGCTCGATTCGAGCGCTCTCAAGAGCCACATCAAGAAGGGGCGGAACAAGCGTCAGAGCATGCTCAACAGTCCTGTAAGTGGCGACACCCCCGGCCAAGCTGGCTCCCGGCGGCTGCATACTGATGTGAATGGTTTAGCCGGCGCGCATCCAAGCGCAGAGCATGTAAAGAGCAGAACGACACGAGAAGGCGATGAACACGGAGATTATAAGAAAAAGACGCTGCGACGACGCAGAATCAACATACAACAGCACTATTACTTTGATGCGGCTGAACAAGCCCAAAATCACATTGGCGGCCACCGAGCTCACCGTTCCTCGAGCGCCCACGGCCGGTGGAATTCCCCGGGTGGCGGATCAGCGATGGACGGCCAAGACAAATGACGAAACGTGCAGTCTGCCTGCCTGTGGTGTAAAAACCATCCGAAGACCAGGTTGGGACACCGAGTCTATTCGGCTCCGGGGTAGGCGCTGACTACGCATTGCTCGGCGCAATGTGGTTGGTGAAGGAAGGATATGAAGAGGGAACTCTCGACTATGGTCACTTGTAGTGACTGGCACGGATGGTCCGGAAGGATCATGACTTCAGCCATCATGATCTGGCCAGCCGTGCGTTTCGCGGAGTCCGACCTACGGCCGAGTCAATGGCAGGACAGGAGGGCTGAGAAGAGTCTGGCGCAGTGTGTTTCAAGGTGTACAATCATGGCTTCTTTCAACTCTGGGCAATGGCTCGGCTTCCCAACAGCTGGGGAGGTACCGCCACATTACGATAAGCTTAGCACCGCCGGTTGCAGTACCAGCCTTGGTGTTAATACATATGGGTATTGACTGAATGTGTGCTCCGTGACGGTTCTGATCTGGATTTCGTTTGTGTGCTGCGCGCAGAGTGATCGTTGTCTCGAGCATGTCTTGGAATTGCCAAGTATCCATCAAAGTGACAGATGCAGCGTGTGTGTGAGATGGCTGTCAGACACTGATTTGACTGAGGCATACCTAAGGTACCTAGAGTACGTAGGGCAGGCACAGCAGACCGCCATCGGCAGGGACCGCCCATCCATCCATACTGATTGGTCCGTGCGCCTGCCCCGCCATCGATCCCGCCGATGGAAAATGTCCCCCACCTTGCCCACCCTTGCCTGCCTGCCGGGCTTTCATCACCAGCCCTTCGGCGTCTGCAACCGAGGATTTTCCATTTCTTGACGACCAGCGTCTGTCTCTCAGCGTGTGATCTTTTTTGCGTACAGGCCCCCTCGCTTGGTTCTTCTATCACAAATCCGCAGGAAAACAGAGGTATGAGATTGCTTGCTCGCCGATTGGCTTTGATTCCTCCCTCATTTTTGCGTCTTGCCTAATACGCGTTCAGGTCCCAATTCAGTGAAGAGCGGTGGTTGAAAATTCTCATCGACGAGGTGGCCGCTTGATACGCTTTCAACCATCTGCACACATCGCCACCCACAGACGTCTTCAGGCCACAGCTCTCAACATGGAGTCCTCCGCCCGTGAGCAGTCGCCCGACGAGCGAGCTGCAAAGCGCGTCAAGATCGACGCTTTGCCGTCTCTCGAGAGTGAGACGCCGAGCGGTCAGAATGGGAGTCGCGCCAATGGGGGAGAGCAGGCTGCCGAGAAGCCCCAGGGCGGAGATGCCGCCATGGCTGATGCCCCCAAGGGCGAATCGGGTCAGGACGGCCCCGTCCCCGAGGTGAAGAAGGATGCTCGGGACCGCAATGCTGCCATTGCCCCTATCAAGGCTGAGTGAGTCCCCTTGTTGCGGGCTCTTGCTTGGGTGTGTCGTGGACTGACTTGGCCAGGTTCCTGATCCCGCGTTCGGAGATTGAGAAGCAGCAGGAGGTTTCCATCGACGATGATGCTGCTGAGGGACGCGGCCAGGACCAGGAGCAGCAGGAGCGTGGGGATCACCCACGTCGCGACACGCGTGACAAACGCGACAAGAAGAAGGCCAAGGGACAGAACAAGGAGCGCACGTTTGGCAACTTTGACGACACGTTCCGCCTGTGCAACAGTCGCGCCTATTATCCTGAGTTTTCGCCGCGCGAGTGCCGCTATGGAGACCGCTGCCAGCTGTCCCACGATCTGCGCAAGTACATGGAGGAGGGTCGCCGTGGTGATGTTGAGACTTTTGGCGGCAAATGCCCCGTTTTCGAGAGCCATGGTCGCTGCCCTTCGGGCTGGAAGTGTCGCTTCGTCAGGAGCCACATGAAGGAGATCGAGCGTGAAGATGGTCGTAAGGAGCTGGTGCTGCTTGGCGCCTCTGATGGCACTGATGAGGACCCTGAGGATGCTCGCCTCGGCAGCGTCAATGTTATCGACAACAAGGTCAAGATTGATCTGAGCCGTCGCCGCGTCAACATGGAGGAGGTCGACAAGTACATTTCTTGGATGAACCACGAGACCAAGTTGACCGACGAACTTCACCACCGTCGTAACCGCCAGACCGCCGAAGACAGCGAAGACCTCCGTGCCCAGTACAGGGAGGCACCATTGAAGCCCTCTGAGAAGCGCAAGCTGTACTTTGGACGCGATACGCCCGCCCTGGCGCCCCTCACCACGCAGGGCAACCTCCCGTTCCGGCGTCTTGCCGTGGAGCTCGGCGCTGAGCTGACCTACTCTGAGATGGCCATGGGCCTGCCCCTCATTCAGGGCACAAAGGCTGACTGGACGCTCCTCAAGGCCCACGAGTCTGAGCTCGTCCCGCCCAAAGCTGGCGGTCCCATTGTCCAGGGCTACGATAACGCCAAGGATATCAAGTTCGGCGCTCAAATCTCCGCCAACCAGCCCTGGGTTGCTGTGAAGGCTGCCGAGTGCCTCAAGCGTTTCGTCCCTCACCTGCGTGTCGTTGACCTCAACTGCGGCTGCCCAATCGACATGCTTTTCAAGGCCGGTGGTGGCTCTGCCCTCCTGGAGGCTCACGGCAAGCTCGAGCGCATGGTTCGCGGCATGAACACCGTTTCGGGCGAAATTCCCGTGACCGTCAAAATTCGCACTGGTGTCCGCAACAACCGCCCTACTGCCACATCCATCATCAACAAGCTCGCATTTGGCGCTCGCGAGCACCGCGAGCGCCTTGGCGCACCTGGCTGTGCCGCCATCACCCTCCATGGCCGCAGCCGCGAGCAGCGCTACACGCGCAGGGCTGACTGGAGCTACGTCGCCGAGTGTGCTGCCCTGATCAAGAGCTACAACGAGACAAAGGACGCCGACACTGACACGATTCGCGAGCCCGATGCCTCGACTCTGCCCAACTCCAAGGACGGCAAGATGTACTTCCTCGGCAACGGTGACTGCTACTCACACGTCGAGTACTTTGACCACATCGACAACGCCGGCGTTGACAGCGTCATGATCGGCCGTGGCGCCCTCGTCAAGCCCTGGCTCTTCGAGGAGATCGAAAAGAGCCAGTACCTCGACAAGACGGCCACCGAGCGCCTCGGCTACATCGAAAAGTTTGTACGCTACGGTCTCGAAGCCTGGGGCTCCGACGAGCTCGGCATCGGCTTCACCAGACGCTTCCTGCTCGAGTGGATGAGCTTCACGCACCGCTACGTCCCGCTCGGCATATTGGAGCACCTGCCTCCTTCGCTCAACGACCGGCCGCCCGCGTTCCGGGGACGGAATGAGATGGAGACCCTGCTTGCAAGCAACAACTACAAGGATTGGATCAAGATCAGGTAGGATTCTTGTGAGATGCGGCTTTGTCTTAAGGATCGTGCTGACTTTTGCTTGCAGTGAAATGTACCTTGGCCCTTGCCACCCGGGCTTTACCTTCCAACCGAAGCACAAGTCGAACGCCTACGAGGCCGAGGGTTAGGTGGTCTTTTGCGGGACATATTGGTGCCCTGGTGTGAGGGAGCGCTACTAAAGACAGGTGTATGAGTAACGGTGGGCAGTAGAGGACATGGAAAAGCATTTGCATTATTGAGAATGGTAGCATGAGCTTGTATGTTGCTGAGAACGTGAATAAGATGTCTCCGACAGATTCGCCATTCTAGTCTGTGTGATTCCCGGGTTGTGTTGGAAAGAAGCAGTGCAAGGCTCATCGTGACCTCTTTTGCTTAGTGAGCGACAGCCAAAGCCAATCCTCAGACCGTTGATAATTCCTTCGGAAGGTTGATGGCATTATGCGAAAGACAGGAACTTGATTATCGATCTCCTAAAGCGTCTGACTCTGGAGGGATAACAAACGCGCTATCCTTATTCCAGTTGGAGCGCCAGGAATATTTCTGAACAAGTTGGTCAAGCTCGGGGAGCGACAACTGTAAAGACCAGACCCTGCCTGATTCGGTACCGATGTAGATGAGACCTTTTGAGGAATTGATAGCAACCATTTTATTCGAATAAGGTGGTCTGTATTCGGATGGGATCCACAGAATAGCGGCGTCGTCTCTTCGAATCCAGCCCTCAGAGTACTTGAGTGATTCAATGCCCATGATCAACCTCAGGGATGCAAGGTCGATTTTTGTCATTCCGTTTGTTGTGGTTATATTTATGAACTCCTCTTGACTGGAAAGTCCGGCGGTACTCAGGACCATGTCATTCCTCTTGATAGTTCGGAGAAAAGTCATCTTCGAGATGTCCCAAATGACAGCTTGTCGTCGGTTGTCGGCAGTTATGAGAAAATTATTGTCTTTGGAAAACACTAGATTTCCGTTATCGTATGGAAGTGATTTGTAATTGTGTGGTCGAATCTCGAAAGGTAAATGATTCCTTCCTTCCCGCCATTTCAAAAGGAAAGGAGGCGCTCCCCGGCAGGTCCAAGCCATGATCTCATTGTCATTCGAGAAGCACAAACCAGATCTCGTCAAGACGTTTATTGGTATTTCGAAGTTTGCAATGAATTTGGCAGTAGGAAGGTCCCAAATTTTCAGTTTTGTCTCGTATGCCAACGCGAGCAACAGCTTGTTTGGCGAGAAGACCATAAGACATGAGGTCCAACAACTCCTTCCTTCATAGTCCAAGGTTTGCAGAATATTACGAGTGCCATGGTCCCAGATCCTGATAGTGAGGTCGCTAGACATTTTAGCCACTAGCGTGGCATCGGCTGAGAGGCAGACAGATATCGTGCGTTCATGCTTGTCATTGTTCGCTTCATACCCTAGCTCAAGTGCTGCGGCCTTTTGTGTGTCATTTATTTCGTGATCTGCTTGTACGTTAGATCTTGGATTTAGCTTGAGTAATGAAGGAAGTAGAGTACCAAGTTGCATATCATACACACAGACTGAGTTAGGTTCTGAGCCGGCAGCCGATAACCATCTTCCATCATTCGAAAGTGCGTAGCAACGTGGTATATTAACTATCGATGGAATGCCATCGACGACTTTCATTGCCCCGTCAGTCCAGTTCTCGAGATCGTTAAAACTCTTGTCAGTGTCAGCGCTGCTTGGACGCGTCAAGAATTCCAAGGTTGCGTGGCGTCTGTCCATCGGAACCAGCAGCACCTGTTGACAGGGCTTTCCATCTGGGAGAGCTTTTGGCCGGATAGCTATGCACCACTCCCCCTGTTCATTCACCCGAGCCCCAGTATTCAAGTCCAAGATTACAAGTGTCTGCAAAAAGTCTGTAGCCACCAGTAGTTCATGACGACTCGTAAGGACAAATGCCATGGTTTCTATGGCATGATGAACTTCTTTGAGGGTTTGGAGGCAACTCTTAGTCGCCGGGTCAAAAACCCTGATGTGCCCCTCAGTGTCAACTACAGCTAGTCGAATCTTTCCATTGTCTGAGGCGAGAGCAAAGTCAGCATTCATGGCAGCACTGATAGGACACGTCCACAAGCATTCCCCAGTCGTTGTGTGCCACACTTTGACTGTTCCATCTGAAGACTTGGATGCTACGAAATCGTTTGCGGCGATCGCAATCGATACCACAGCATCCTTGTGGCCTAAGAGTGTTTTCAGACACGTTCCGCTGGGGAGGTCCCAGATCTTGATGGTCTTGTCATGGGAACATGTGATGAAAGCTCCATTGGGCGCCAAGGCACACTGCCAGACGGTGCTCTGATGCCCTTCAAGGACTTGAAGACAATGCCATGTGACGGGGTCCATCACCGCGATTGTACCATCCAATGCGCCAATAGCCAGATGGTTGTCCGCGGTGAACGTGGCTGAGCGTGCTATCCCGCCATCGAATATGCGGAATTGCTTGTTCCAGGATGTATTGATATGGCGTACCTCTCTCGTCCATTTTGGACGCTGAGCTTGAAATGTGTTTCTGACGATGCTAGACAATGGCGCAAAGGTGAGGCCGGAGGCATACAGCTGTAACGGAGCTTCCATGATCGCAGATCTGAAGTACCTAATGAATTGGCCTGCGTCCGTAATGAACGACTTGGCTTGCAAGCACTGGCCAATGGATATCAGCTTCGAGCCTGAACTAGGCCCAGGCATGGCGACTTACTGTGGTTCGTTCTTGAAGTTTAAGCATCTGTGAGGCGCCTCTGTCAAGTCGTTTCAAGAGACTCAACGCTTCTAACCAATGAAGCAAATGGGTGCAAAGAAACGAGTAGACCGCATCTTGATCGTTAATCAAGTCTTCGCTGTGGATAAAGTGATCCGCCCAGTGTAGGCAGGCATATTGGACTGCCGGGGGCAGACACTCATCAATCTTTGTCTGTGGAACATATCTTCGTTCCGTGCCAGGATGCGAGAGACTGCAGATATCCTGTCTCAGCGACTGGCCATTAGAGAGTAGTCGAAGACAGTCTCTTGCAACCCTTCTTTGCGCTTCTTTTTCGTCCACGTGAAACTCAAGGGCGCCACGCTTCGAATCGACGAGATAGTCGCGGAAAGACAAGTGAAATAGTTTGATTCGCTGCACACGACTGAGTGGAATATCCAGCACAGAATGCAAGTAGTCTAGCAAACCATCAAAATGATGAGGTGGTTTAGACAAAAGACATTCGAGTGAAGCGGCGTTGAGAGGCTCGGTTAATACGATGATAGTGCCGACAATCTCATGAAATTGGTTGATGATGTCTTCTCTATCAGGTTCGTCGAGGCCGTCGATTAATTGTTTCAGAATAGGTCGGTAGGTAGGATGTAGTCTCCACCCTTCTATCTGCTCCGTCAAGCGTCTCAGTCGGCTTTCAGGTCCGCCCGGGATGCGTTCATCTTCGATGAAGCGACAGGCAGTAGCTGCGTATATGAACAACGGGACAGATATTTCGAGCAGAAGATTAAACTCCTTGCTCTGTGGCCAACCAGGAGGTAACTGTGCAAGACTACGAATGCCTTCTAACCGGAAAAGCAAGAAGCGTTTGATATCCTGCTCAACAGAGGGATCAGATCCCTCTTTCAGTTTGAGCTCATCAACTGTTGACTGGATGCTCTTAAAGCCTTCTCGAATTGGTGGTTCGTTCCTGCTTGCAATGAAGAAGTTCAGAGGGATTGACGTGATTTTCTTGATATGTGAGAGCTGGGTGATCAGGTCTTTGATATTGCTCTCTCCATCGCACTCATCCAGAGCATCAATAACAACAGTCATTGGAGATGCGACGGAGACGTTCTCCAAAGGCCTGAGAACGAGCATCTTGAACTGTTCTCCCAGTGACTTGGTCGCGATATCGGGATTCGCTTCAATGGTATGTCGCATCTGAGCAGCAGCCGCGGGAAAGCTGCTCACGAGCTGGGCGGCGATGGTCGGAAAGAAGCGGCGAGCATTGCCGCGATCACCCTCGCCCCTTTTGAAAAAGAAACTGGCAGCTAGAAGCCCCGCTGCAGCCAGTTCCCGAGCGACAGACTGGGCAATTGTTGATTTACCGGTGCCAGCCTTGCCGTGTAACCAGCAAAGGGGTTCAATCTCGGGATCGCGCAGCCATCCTCTGATATCGCCAAGAATTTCAATGCGCGTGCCAGCAAGGCACGCTTCAGCTCCGTTCTCCGCATCGTCGAATGCGGCCCCTGGTACGCAGGAAAGCTTTTCTTTGACGAACAGCTGGCTTTCATTTAGTTTGGGAGTGGTATTGCTACTCAGTCAGATGGTGTTTAGATCTTGCTTGGGCGTAGGATTTCTTACGGTATAAGTCGTTTCACTTGTCGTTGGAGTTCGACGTAAAGGGGGTCGGACTTGTTCCGGCATTTATTCAGGCCAGAATGATCCGTGTCTATAAGGTATTCTGTTGGATCATGTATACCAAGGGCTGAGACTTGATTGACAACCTAGGTATTTACTCCATCAGTCGAGGACACTCATCATCAATGCATGGTCGGTAAACTTACCAACCCAAAGGAGAGCCAGCCAAGTGTCAAAGGCTTGGCCTCGCTAAAAGCCAGCAGCTCGGTTTTGCCCCGCCGGGCATCTTTAAGTTTGATCAAGCTGTTGAACCGTCTCTCCAGATCCAAAAGTTGATCGTTTCTATGCCCCAGCATGAGAAGAAGTGTGTTACTGGAACCCAGCACGCTGGTCATAGCCGTCACGGTGGCACCGATGACTGATAGCGGCGATCCTAGGTGGGGAGTTCCAAGGAATATGATGGCATGGGTGTTGTCAATTATATCGGATGACCTCTCCCCGTGTGCGCATAGAGCCTGGGCCGTTAGCTTACAATAGCGGTCTTGAATGCAGATATTGTACCTCTTTGATGATGATACCTCCGAAGCTGTGGCCGATGAACACAATGGGCAAGCACTGAGCTCCAGTTAGCCACGGCGCGTGATGTGCTGTATATCAGGCTGTTCACACCAAGTGCTTTGAAAGATGTTCCGTAAGCTCGGCAACCAGCTGCTCGCCAATCTGTCGCGCAGTCTTGATGGGTGCGTTGATCATCCAGTCGGAATTATGTGCGTGCAATAGAATTCTCGCTTCAGGGAAATCCTCCTTCAAGAAATGTCTCAACAGGTGTACAGGTTGTGTCTTTTCGGTAGAATCTTTAGATCGAGGGGGCAACGCTTCCCATGTTCGTTCGGGGTGTGTACCGAGGCCATGAACGGCGACGATCCTGGTTCAGTCAGAACGGGCATTCTTCCAAATAGGAGAACATGGGGAACCCTAACACAAACTTGGCATTCTCTGGGTTGGAAATTACGCAGAGGCCATTCGGACGTGCATCCTCGCTCCGACGACGAGCCTTCTTCAGCTTGGTGTAGATGCAGTGCGCCAGGGAGGCGGCAACGCAGAGCGTGGTGAGCAGCACAGCCCACAAGAACTTCATGCTGGTGCTTCTGCACACCCTTGGGCGTTATGATGATATACTGTAGTGGAATGCTCGATGTTCTGCTTATGGTCGGTTTGTGAAAACTGAAAGTGTCAGGCTGTGATCGGTGCCATCGCGGGGATGAGGTAGCCTGACATGGTCGCCACGAACCAAGCAGGCTGTAGGCATGCATGAGCTGCGCACGGAGCTGTGTGCTGGCAAGGCAGAGTGCCGCCATTCAGTCATCCTTTCCACGGTCATGTGGTTCGATTCGGAGATAAGGTAAGGATAAGTGACTGACTGCTATTGAATGAAGCCGACTTCTCGAGTCGAGGGTAGGACCAGCACGTGATTTGGCACATTTGGATTGGATGAAGAACCCATGGCTGCACTTCTGAAGTTGTCCCGTTACCTCCAATCTTCACCAACAACGTCAAGAAGGCACAGAGCTAGATCTTGTCGACAATGCTACAATCATCTTCTTATCTCCCATCACTGACCTCAGTTGACTACCTCGCGGTAGTTCAACTTCGCGGCCTGATGTTACGGGGCGACTCCACCGGGCCGGCTCAACCCGGGCATTAAAGCAAGAGGCGGGGAAGATGGCCGAGCCAACTTCAGGGTCACAACACGAAACCAAAGTCCCATCGACCTTATCCGAAGGCGAACATGGTCCCCCCTTGCCGAGGAGGGGAGGCGTTTGCGGGGACGCCACGCGCCATTCCTCAAGGAGCACATGTTCCCCCACTCTGGTGCACTTAGACGCAGATGGCGACCAGTGTTGGACGACTGCTTGGCCAGAAGAGGAGGCAACGCCCATGTCGATCTGTCTCGAGAGCGGTTGGTCCGATACACCTCGTCGTGGCAGCATACCGATCAGCATTGCGTCGGACTTGTATTGCCTCGCAAGAATCCTGCCGGCGAGCACTAGTGCGTGTAACGTGTGCTTGGATATCGTACCCCTCCCCCGCATGTCGGCCTCAAGAGGTTGACGGACGCCTGCGCGGATTCAGGGTGAATGGCGTCTTGGTTGACAGCATGGGGTACCCATGGGGCCTGGTATATACTTCAGCCATTGCCCGGCTCTGGGTCCCCTCCTCGACCGGTTGCCCATTGACATGGCATATTGTTTTGTTTTGCTTTGCAACTCATCATGTCAGCCGACAATGATCGCGTGAGCGGGTTGCCGCACGATAAGGTAGACCACACCGTCGACATCGAGCCACACGATGACAGAAAGAACGAAATCGACGCCGAGGACCAGTTCCCCCCCGAGGGCTGGTTCGAACGTCTCAAGGCCGAGTATACTGGTCAGCACGGGGGCGAGACGCTGCCGGCCGGCTGCGATCCGGATCGCATGGTGGCCGCCATTCTGACCCTCAACGAAGACGAGTCTGTCCAGGTCCTCGAGGATCTCCTCGTCAGCCAGAAAGAGGACTACACCATCGATCGCCAGATGATGGAGCGTCTTCGCCAGCTCATCCGCGGCAACAAGGCCTGCGACATGGAGCAGGGCGAGTGGTCGTACGAGGTCTGCAAGCGTGCCGGCCTGTGTCACAACTGGTCCCCTTACGCCGAAGTTCGCGCCGTCACGTTGCCCTACGATGATGCCGACGAGGCCTGTGAGAGCTTCCGCGCCTATGTTCTGGGCTACTTCTGGGTCTGTGTCTGCACAGCGGTCAACACTTGTAAGTTGTCTTCCTACCTCTGAATTCCAAGGCCCAGGGCTTTCATTGTATGACACAAGACTAAGACAATGATTTTGAAAGTCTTTGCTCCTCGTCAGCCGGGCATATCGATTCCCGGCTCCGTCGTACAGCTCCTTCTGGTTCCCATGGGTCGAGGTATGGCCTGGCTGCTTCCAGACTGGGGCTTCAAGTTCCGCGGCACGCGCTACACGTTGAACCCAGGCCCTTGGACGAGCAAGGAGCAGCTGTTCGCGACCATCATCTTCACGGGTGCCTCGAGCATCGGCAATTTCACCGGTCTTCTCGTCCTTCGTATGCCCGTCTTCTTCAACCAGCGCTGGGCCGGCTTCAGCTTCAACCTCATGCTCGCGCTGGCGAACCAGGTATACGGCCTCGGCATGGCCGGTATCCTACGGCGCCTAGCTGTCTATCCCATCGAAGCCGTGTGGCCCAAGACGCTGCCGACGCTCGCTCTCAACAGGACGCTCATCAACCAAGACAATAAGCGCGAAAAGGTCAACGGCTGGACCTTGTCACGCTACAGAATGTTCGTCTGGTGTGGCATCATCTTCACCATTTACTACTGGATCCCCAACCAATTCTTCGTCGGACTGCGTCTCTTCAACTGGATGACGTGGATCGCGCCGAACAACTTCAATCTCGCCACCATCACCGGATCATACGGCGGCATGGGTTTCAACCCGATCTCGAGCTGGGATCCGAACGCGTCCGGCATGGATGCCATGACAGCCCCCTTTTTTGCCCAGTTGCAACAGTATGTGATGCGTGTCATCTCTGGCATCATTATCCTCATCATGTACTACAAGAACGCCTTTTGGGCCGCTTTCATGCCCATCAACTCAAATGCCGCCTTTGACAACACTGGCAGTGCCTATAACATTTCCAAGGTCCTCAATGACAACCAGCGCCTTGACGTGGACAAGTACCAAGAGTACGGTCCACCGTACTATGCCATCGCCAACCTGTTCGTGACGGGCGCCAACTTCATTTACTACACCTTTTCCATTGTCTACGTCTTCACCAAGTACTGGCGCCCCATCAAGAAGGCGTTCGTCGGCATGGTTGTCAACACAGTGAAGCGCAGGAGCGTCTACACGGGCTTCACAGACGGCCACACGAGAATGATGCGCAAGTACAAAGAGGTGCCGGAATGGTGGTACGGCTGCGTCTTTGCCTTTGGCTTCATCGTCTCCATCGTCAGCCTCACGGCCTGGCCGACGCAGACCCCGTGGTGGTCGATCCTTGGCGTGACAGCCATTGGTGCCCTGCTGACCATCCCCTGGGTTGTCATCGAGTCCATCGCCAGCACCGGCATCCAGCTCAACGTCATTTGGCAAGTCTTGCCCGGCGTCTGGTTCCCCGGCCAGCCGCTGCCGCAGCTCATCATCCTCATGCTAGGCGCCGCCTTTGAGCAGATGGCAGGCAGCTTCAGCGGCGACCTCAAGTACGCGCATTACGCCGGCATACCCCGACGTGCCGTGTTCCGCGGCCACGTCTCGTCCGTCGTCGTCAACTGCTTCATCTACTGCGCCATCCTCGAGCTTCTCATGCTCTACGCCAACGAGGATAGCAGCTTCTGCACCTGGGACAACAGGCAGTACATGGTCTGCGCCTACGCCCACTCCATCTGGTCCTCAACTATCCTCTTCGGCGCCTTTGGCACCAACAACATGTTCAAGCTCTATCCCGTCTTGCCGTGGTGCTTCCTCATCGGCGCCCTCCTCGGCGTCGCCTGGATCGTCAGCGAGAGGACCCTGCCACTCCTGCGCGCCCGCCTCCAGCGCCGCGTCGAGCCCGAGCCCTTTGCCCGCTTCGACCGCTACTTCTGGGCGCCCGCCTCCTCCATCATGGCGTGCCTCAACCCGGCCATCGCCCTCTCGGGCGCCCTCAGCTGGGCGGGCAACAACAACCTCACGTACGCGACGCTCGGCATCTACATTGCCTGGTTCTTCCAGTTCTACCTCAAGCGACACTACACGGCCTGGTGGGGCAAGTATGCCTACCTCATCTTCGCGGGTCTCAGCGTCGGTGTCGCCGTGTCGGGCCTCATTGTCACGCTCGTCTTCTCCTTTGGGGCAGGCCAGGGGTATCAATTCGCCTGGTGGGGGAACGAGGTGCCGCGCGCCGGCGTCGACTTTCAACTCTACAATAATAACGCCTCGCTGAAGGCACTGCCCGAGGAGGGGTATTTCGGGTTGCGTCCTGAGCAGTATCCTCTCAATTGGTAGGGGATTTACGGCTCTGTTGGCGGCAGGGCGCACATGAAAGGGCAGGATTGGTATTGGGTTCGTAGGCATTGATGGTGATGATGATGTTTACAAGTCAACATGGGCTTATTATCAGCATTAGAAATAGATGTCTGGACGTTTGCTTTGGGTATATCTAGTCTCCTCTTGTATTTGTGCTATCCCACCCTCCTTGTCCCAGTGTTTTGCACTTATAACCACGCCGTCGTTGACAGGCCGACGCTTTCCACTCACGTCTTTGGCCTACGTCAGCTCGCTTTAGCGAACGATTCAAGGAGGTCGCTTCGTACATGCGAAGTCGATGACTTTCGACGAAGGCGTCTCGCTTGATAGACCGCCATCGCAGCCTCAAACAGGCGTAGATATTATTACGTTTTTGGTATTTTGTATCGTTACCCACCATGGCTGAACTTTATCTTCAATACAGTTCTTCACAACCAACTACCATCGGCCCTTTGATGGGAGTCATCCGATTTCCACGTCGAACCCGCCCCGCTGGACTCTGTCCCTGTGGTCGGAGGGTCTGACGTGCGCTTCGCCGCCTCGTGCCGTCGGTCCTGCGTATTCTCCCTCATCTCGATATCTCGTGAACTCCGCACAGAACCGCGACTGGCCGTTCGATTGGACGGTGCCGGCGCCGTCCACGTCTGCGTCGAATCGAGCGTGAAGTGCGCGTGGCCCCGCGTCTCCACAACCTCGACCTGCGCTCCGCTCCGCCAGCGGCGCAGGTTCGCTCGGCCGCCGAGCAGCGGCCGCAAGACGGGGATGCAGAGGCACAGCATGGCGCACGTAATCTCGCCTACGGACCAGTAGACGGTCCGGGTCATGACCCAGCTGGCGTCGGCGTCAAAGAGGCCGCGGTGGACGGTGCTGATGCGGATGGCCGAGATGATGCAGGTGCTGTGAACGGGAGAGAACGACGGTCAGTACTAGTAAGCCAGGGGATACACAAGTCGGGATCTGGTATTCTGGAGTGCCATGATTTGACTCACATGAATCCCAGGCAGAAGACAGCGGTGAGCGTGATCTTTTGGGGCTTCGTCAAGGGCAGCGTCTTGATCAG